TTTGGTTGAAGTGATGGGTTCTTTCACAAACGATGCTGGCTGCAGTAAAATCAGGCTAGAGGTAAGTTTTCCATGTGAAAAAGATACAGAAAGTTTCCCCACAACCAAGCCCTCCCCCCATAACTGTTCAGTCTCCAGCCAATAAGAGTCCGCCTAAGTGTTTTGAGAACACTGAGGCATTGAGGGCAATTAGCATTTTTTCTCGGGATGCCTGGCCTTGGGTGCTGGGTTTGAGCTCTTCTCTTCATCAAGCTGTCATTCCCCCCTCCCAATTTCTCATCATGTACACATGAAGGTTTATTGCCCATTTGTTCCCCCCATGTCCCCCTCCTCCCCATTAGCCTTTGATGGCAGGATGCCAGCGAGGCACCAAGCCGAAGATGGTGGACCTGAAAACACTCGTGGCAATGCCCTTCTTTCTTCCTTTTATATTGACCCCAAAGCATTCAAGATGGTTTTCATCACTGTTCTGTTGTTTTTCTGTAGAGAGATAATTATTTCTTATATAGAAAGCAAGTCCACTTTCTCTTTTATTAAACAATGGAAATCCCTCTCTCTGTATGTTCCATTCATGGGTTTCATCCCACCAGGTTTCTGTAACGGCAACGATTTCACCTCTGTCCTCCTGTACTCGGAGTTCAAGTTCATCCTGTTGGTTCCTCACACTTTCTGCTTGGGTGCATGGGTATTTGAGTCCTTTTTGAGGGACCCTGTTTCATACACAAGCTGTTTTGTGTCTGAGTTCCCCTTCTTCCTCATCATTTGTTTGATTAGTGCACACAATATAAAAAACCTGATTTTCTTTAACTGCTGCCTCAATATTCATTCCGTTGATGGCTGCTTGAGAACAAGGAAGGATCCCTCGTTCCCATCAACATGACTTTAGTGATAGAAAGGATGAAGTGTCACATTCACAATCAGCCATCCTGGCAATGGTCCCTGGTGCTGGATGGGAGGGGAAGAAGAGGGCTTATAAACAGCCCCCACCGTTGTACGAAAGGCAGGTGACTGATGAACTCTGGAGCACAGTTTACAGCAAAGGAAATAGATAAAGCAGGTAGCAACCCCTCTGCACAACCATCACACGAGGGAAAGATGGGTGAAGATTAGGAGAAAGCAAGGAAAGGTTGGACAATGACCTGGGACCCCCGCTCCCTTGCTGGCCCCACGCCAATCAGTTCCGGAGAAATCATGAGGTTTATCTTTGAGAGGAACTGAAAGTGAAACTGAGTAACAGATAACAGGTGGAAAGGCCGGCCTGTCCTTACTGCATCCAGATTCGGCAGGACAAGGTCCCAGGTGTGCCTGCATTTTATGGCCCTGTTTCTGCCTGCAATCCAGCACGTGCTCACCTGCTTAGGAAGATGCATCATTCCCAGCCTTCAGGGAGGAGGGTCCTGGAGCTCTTCTAGGGCTGGCAGGGCTGGTGGACAAGGACGTGAGTCCTGGGACCCCTCCCTCCCCTGCTGGCCCCATGCCAATCAGTTCCAGAGAAATCACGAGGTTCATCTTTGAGAAGCAACCAAAAGTGAAACAGAGGAACAGATAAGATAACAGCTGCACCCAGGTTGAACCCAGACAAGGTCCCAGGTGCGCCTGCATTTTATGGCCCTGTTTATACCTGGATCCAGGATATGCTCACCTGAAGGTTCATTGTTCCCAGCCTTCCAGGGATCCCGAAGCTCTTCTAAGGCTGGGGGCTGCTTGGGACCCCCATTCACACTTCCCTTGGGCTCTGGATTTCTTCCTACCTGTTAGTTTATCCCACCCCCCTTATTGAATGTGACTTAGGGAAGAGGTGGGTGGGGGGTGCATAAAGGGCACCCGAAAGGCCTAAAGGCCTCTGGACAGACAGAGGTCTGCAGCCAAGCTGGCTTGGCAGGAGATTTTCTGCCAACTGCAGAAGGGCACAAAAGGGGGGCAGCCATGACAAGGACTCTGCCAGGGGGTCTATGACAACTTGCCGCAGCCATCTCCCGGCAGCCAACCTGCCACAAGACAAGTGTTGCACTCGTATCGAAGAAATAGTAGATGAATAGAATCATTGGAGAAGGGATGCCAAAGGAGGGGCAAAATGACATGGGAAAGACAAAAAAGTTTTTAAAAATAGTTTTTGAAATTTAATTGAACTGTTCAGTCATCCCGTTCTGTAGGCGTCCTATAGGGAGAATACTGAGGTGGGGGGGGGGGTGAGGCAGAGGCAGAGCAGAATGGGGAGGGGCAGGATGGGGGGTGAGCCAGGAGGACTCAGCTGTGGGGAAAGGCTCCAAGTGGGGCTGTGTCCAGCCTCCTTTTGCAAACTGCCACAAAGCCCAGGCTGAGGCGCAACGCCAGAGCCTCCGCTCGGTTCAGAGTGGAACGGTTCAAATGGGTCGAGGGATTCCGCAGCAGCTGATTTCCAGATGAAATCGGAGACAGTGAAACAAACTTGTAGTCTTTTTATTTATTCATTAAATATATTTATACATATACATATATATGTTTTAAAATATATGTATTTAAACACATATATTTAACACAGCAGTCTTTGTCATCGTCCAGAACAGAAAAACACAAGATAGTCGGGAATGCAGGAACATTGTGAGGTAAAATGAAACAGATTACAAAAGACATAGAAGAAAAAGGCGGGAAACAGGGAAACGCCCCCTTTAACCCACAGCTACCAATCATTGCTTTGATCCCCTTTAACCCACAGCCACCAATTATTGCTTTGATCGCCTCAGACAGGAGCCCGCGCTCTCCAACCAATCAACCACCACCATTGTTATGTTTTGTATAGAGTTGTATAGAGATGGAACCTCATAGGTCGGGACGGACACATCACTGCCCTGCCTATCTAAAAGACTACAGATGTTAATTGTTATTTTGATCACCATAACGCTCTGTCTTGGTGGGGAGGGGTGTCATGTATTGTATATAGTGTTTAGTTGTCAGTTGAAGTTCTCATTCTGGTCCACTGTTGGAGTGGGAAAATACTCTCTCCTGGTTGGTTGTTTGGTTGGTCAGTTTCATATAAAGGGAGCCGTGTCAGCCAGGGAGTCCTATTGCCTCACAGGCAGTATTGAATAGAGAGCTGTTAGAAATCACTCTGGCCTCGCCTCCATTCTTCTGTGTGTTCCCACCTAGGGTACACTTTACTGTTCCAACTACTAAATTTGATATCCTATCAGGCCACAGAATACAGAATAACAGAGTTGGAAGGGACCCTGGAGGTCTTCTAGTCCAACCCCCTTAGGGGTGGGTTCTACTTACCTTTACTACCGGTTTGCAGTGGAGCCGCGCACGCACACTCTTCTGCGCATGCGCAGAAGCGTTTTGGTGATGTCGGGGTCAGAGGGCGGAGCCTCCCGCTGGTTTTACTACCGGTTCTATAGAATCAGTGCGAACCGGAGGCAACCTACCACTGAACCCCCGGCTCAAGAGCCTCTACTATTTCAAACAAATGGCTGTCCAATCTCTTCTTTAAAACCTTCAGTGATGATGCATCCACAACTTCTGGTGGCAAGCTGTTCCGCTGGTTAATTGTTCTCACTGTCAGGAAGTTTTTCCTTAATTCCAGGTTGCTTCTCTCCTTCATGAGTTTCCATCCATTGCGCCTTGTCCTGCCTTCTGGTGGTTTGGAGAATAGATCCACCCTCTCTTCTCTGGGGCACCCCTCAAATACTGCAATGCTGCTATCATGTCCACTCCAGTCCTTCTGTTTCTCTAGACCAGTGATGGTGAACCTTTTTCCCATTGCGTGCCAGAAGTGTGTGTATATGTGCGTGATAACACGTGCGCGTGCCAGCACCCATAATGTACTGAGACACCCCCACCCATGCTCATGCGTGCATGACACTCCCGTGGATGCGCCCCATATTGCGCACACTCCCCCATGCATGCGTTCTGCATTGCACATGCACAGTCCCCCACATGCGCTTTGTGCCCCCCCACCGCGGCCTGTTTTGGGCCTGAGAAGTCTGGGCTTTCGGGGGAAGGGATTGAAGTCCTGGCCTGCTGCTTCTGGCAGCAGCAAGAACCGCCACCGCTGGGTGGAAGGGGGTGGTGGGAAGGATCTGCTGTCTGGGGCTTCCCTGTCTCTGCACCGGAGCAGGCTGTCCAGGGAAAGAGATTGAATTCCCCGGCCATTGCTTCCGGCAGCACAAGAACTGCCATGAAAGCAATGCCCGGGGGATTCAATCTCTTTCCCTGGAGACAGGGAAGCCCCAGAAAATGGATCCTTCTCACCCCCTTCCACCCGGCAGCTGCGGTTCTTGCGCTGCCATGAAAGCAATGCCCGGGGGATTCAATCTCTTTCCCTGGAGAGCCTGCTCAGGTGGGAAAACAAGGAAGCCCCAGACAGCGGATCCTTCCCACCCCCACCCGCTTCCACCTGGCCAGCTGATTGTCATGCACGTATGCGCAGACTAGCTGGCTGGTGCACATGCGTGCCCTGGAAACCCGGAAGAGGAATGGGCGACGCAACACGTGCCAGGCAACATGGCTCTCCGTGCCACTTCCGGCACGCGTGCCATAGGTTCGCCAACATGGCTCTAGACAAATCCAAATCCTGCAACATTCTTCCTGTGTTTTAGTCTCTAGGCCTTGAATCGTCTTAGTTGCTCTTCTTTGCACTTTTTCCAAAGTTGTAACATCTTTTTTGTAATGTGGGGACCAAACCTGGATGCAAGATTCCAGGTGTGGCCTTACTAAGGCTTTACAAAGCGGTACTAATCCTTCACGTGATTTTGATTCTCTGCCTCTGTTTAGACAACGGAGGATCGTGTTAGTTTTTTTGGCTGTTGCCGCACACGGCTGGCTCACGTTTAAGGGATCGTCCACTAGGACTCCAAGGTCAGAACCGGCCATGGGTGGGAGGCAGGACACGGCTCTCTTTTGTGGTTTGAACCAACCCGTGGCTCCGTGTCCTGATCCCAGAAGCAAAGTCCTGGTATGTTGTCTTCCCCTCCCTGAATTTTGGGATGTGGTCCCTGAATCCAAAGATTGCATGCAAATTTCAGTCAGCAACAGGAGAGCCTTTATTAATAAAAACGCCAAAGAGAGCCTGATATTAGGGTAGATTTTACCAGGAAATGTGTGTTAAACATAGATACAGTCTGTAATTCTGTAAATTTTGGATTACATACGTTTTATATAATACACATATTTAGCAATTATTGTCAAAAGTGTAAAGATTATCAGTATATTCATTTTTCCTTTTCTTTTAAAGCAAGCCATTTTCATTCTGGGATTTTGTTTTGTTTTGCCTTGGAGAAGTGGGATAATCTCTTCTCTCCCCCCTCCCCCCGAGAATTGTGGAAGGCCTAGGGACAGACCCCCCCCAGATAATCTCTCTGTGGGGTCACTGAGAATTGACACCAGAAGATCATCCTTCATTCAAACCGTCTTTAGAGACCTAAAGCTAAATCTGAGAACGACAAACCATTCAGCTGAAAACTGAGTTTCTCGTGCCAATGTTGAGAGGTTGCACCACAATTTTAACAGGTTGGTCAACTGAGCTTGGCTCCATTATCTGTGCCGCTGCCCAGAAGGCTGTGCCATACCCTGGCCTCTCCTCCCCGCCCCCATGCAGAATTCAAGTCCCTCCCTGGGGGTCTATTTTCCAGCTCCCCGATCTCCTCAGTCTTGAGATCAGTCAAGGGGGCCAAAGGGTCCCAAGACCTGGAGATAGGGAACGGGGGACAATGGGCTCTGAAGGGAACTGTGGCTCTCTGGGCATCCCACCTGTTCCCTTTTGCTCTCCCCAGGTATGACAAGTTCACTGCAATCAGGACAAATCTATCCAATAGTCAAAAAGCAACACACTGACAACATTATCCTTTGCTCCCTCCAAAAACTTTGTAAAGAATAATCACAAACACAGTCATCCCCATGCAAGTCCACCAAATCCATTTTCGACTCTTTATGGAACTCCAAGGTCCCTTTGATATCCATTTATCACCTCTTCTGTTCTTGGCTAGGAAAAATCTGATGTTCTCGTCCCGTAAATTGGGCACCTCATACAGCTGATTGGTGTAATATCTCCCTCCATTCTTCGAAACGGTTCTCTGCACCGTCTCCATCAGCTCCGAGACCTGCCTCTCCCGCTCGGTTCCCACGGCTTTGTTGTTGAACCCACAGAAGCGATTCCCGCACTGCCGGATCAGGTCACGCAGATTCCAGTTGTCGGACTTTTGGACATACTCATCCAGGGAGGTCCCTCCCAAATCCTCCCGGCAGGTAAAGAGGACGATCGTGTGATTGGTGGACTCAACTCCAAAAACATCCTGGACACACTTTGCAGCAGCCACATCTTCCGCGGTGAAGCGCCCCACTTGGGTCACCAAGATCAGGGCATGGGGGCCGGGTTGGGAGAGCTCAATGCAAGACATGATCTCACGTCGCGCAATCTCATCATATTTCTCCAAATCGAAAATGGCAGGCGTGTCGGTCACACTGATCTTCATGCCTTGCCAGCTTCCCTGCCCCCTTTGGCACCTCAGGGTGGTGACCTTTGCCCCCAAGATGGATTCAAACACCCTCCGGCCGAGGATGGTGTTGCCTGTGGCACTCTTCCCACCTCCGGACTTCCCGACCAGGATCAGCCGGAGTTCCTCCCCTGTGAGAGTGGAAGACAAGTTTACAAAAAAGAATCAAGACATTTCTGACGTGCCTAGGAAGAAAAAGGGCATCTATAGTGCAACGCATCAGGGCGTCATTGGGCAAGCTGGAAATGGGGACAATTTTGGAAAAGTGTCACCTCTGCTCTGAAGTGGATTAAACATTTTTTTAAAAAAATCTCCCAGAGTTGCTGAGTTGGTCTGCTCAGCCATGCAGATTCCCACAACATACAAAACTCAATTTCAGTTTTGCAGAACCTAACAGCTCTGCTGATACCACAATGACTGTCAGTTCTGCCATCTTCAGCTTCAATTCTCATTGGCACCCTGCCATCAATAGCTGGGGAAGAGAGCAAAGGAACAAATGCTAAATAAAAATGTATTAATATAGCACTGGGAAATAGGGATGGGAGGATGACAGTGGAGGAAGAGATGCTTTGAGCCAGTTCGTGCCAGTCTTTAAGGACACCGAGATGCCGGAGACTTGCAAGAGTAGGGTCCAGAGAAAGCAACCGAGGAATCCAAGCTGTGGTCCGTGACCATGGCATTGGAGAGGACCACGGTGGAATGGATGGTCGCTCTCCACAATGAGGTCCCGGAGTTGAGGAACTTCAATTGCTTCATGGCAATGCTCTGGAAGTGATTTGAGGACCTCCTAGCCCAACGCAAAGCTAGGGATTGAATCAAGGCCATAAGCCAGGGCTGATGGAGCATGGCTGAAGACACCCAGAGTTTCGTGATCTGGCCTGTTCGCTGACCGACTGGCCGCAAGACATCCTAATTGGATGCTTCATCTATACATGGACTATTGCGGGCAAAAACCTCTTTTGAGGTACGGGCTGACCACAAAAAGTTAGGAACCCTAAAGACCCCTCAAAGATTGTGGCCCCAAGCAAGTCCGTTGAGCTCAACACTTTAACTGATCCAATTTCAAGCTGAGGAGAGAAGAGCTTCCCAGCAGATGTCCTGTCCAGGCTGCCTTAATAGAACAGTTCAGAATCAGAGGTAATTAGACCAGTTATCCCATCCTGGCAATTGGTGGCTCCAGTCACCACCAGAGTGCAAGACATAGAGAGCTATGTGGCTAGGTGCCTTATCTGAGTTTCTGCCAAAAGACGGTAGAGAAAACACCAGGCCTCCACCAGCCACTGGTGGAGTCCAAAAATGGACTTCATAGTAAACTACCTGGCAGTTTGAGAAATACAACAATTTGGATGATAACTGATTTATTTTCCAAACAAGTGCATTTTGTGCACAAAAAACATGCACGCACTTTAGCCAAATTGTTTGTGCAGCACATCTATAGACTGCATGGAGCCCCAGAAGGAATAATCTCAGATCACAGAGTTCAATTCACTTTGTGGTTTTGGCAAGAGTTTTAAAAACTTCTGTGGACCACCTACGGTCTTAGCTCCTCACATCATCCAGGAACGAATGGAGGCTATGAATGTTCAAATGGGGTCTTGGAGCAGTCTAACATGCATTATCTACAGGACAATTGGATGGACCTCCTTCCTTTCGCTAAGGTTGTTTACAAATAACTCAGTACACATCAGCTCTGAGAGAATGTATCACCCAATTATAAAACACCTGGCTGATAGTAAGGAAAGCATTGGAAGAGGCAAGGGAAGCCTATAAAAAACAAACCAACAAACAAGCTTGAAACCAAAAGACTTTAAAGTTGGGGACAAGATCCATTTATCCATCAAGTATGTACAATCTAGACAACCTTCCAAAAAGTTTCAGAGAACACCCTGGGTCCCAGCAGCCCTTTGAGCTCTGCTTCAGCCCCCACTTCCCGATGAGTGAATATGGCCACTGTGTGCGGCCCCCACCAGCAAAACCGGGTCAGAGCAAGCTGAGACTGACCTAGAAGTGGCTCAAGGCTGCTGGCAAAGGCCAGCATGAAGATGGTTCTGATTAGTCAAATATAAGGTTAGGAGTGGAGGAAAGCATCCCTGGAGAACAGCTAACCAAGCTGTGAACCAGCCAAAAATAAACTTAGGAGGAGTGGAGGAGACAATGCTGGGGACTAGTTAAAGCCAAACTGTGAACCAGTTAAATATAAGGTAAGGAGCGGAGGAAAGCATCCCTGGAAAACAGCTAAGTATGCTGTGAACCAGCTAAAAATAAACTTAGGAGGAGAGGAGGAGACAATGCTGGGGAGCAGTTAAAGCCAAACAGTGAACCAGCTATATGTAGGTTAGGAGCAGAGGAAAGCATCCCTGGAAAACAACTAACTATGCTGTGAACCAGCTAAAAATAAACCAAGGAGAACTGGAGGAGAAAATGTTGGAAAGCAGTTAAAACTAAACTGCGATCCAGCCAACAAATAAGGTTAGGAGCAGAGGAAAGCATCCCTGGAAACCAGCTAACTAAGCTGCAATCCAGCCAAAAATAAACCTAGGAGGAGTGAAGGAGATATTTTTGAAGAACAATTAAAGCCAAATTGATAGAAGTGGAGGAAAATATTGTTGGGGAATAGCTACATAAGTTATGAACCATTTAAACATCACAATTAGCTGCAATGGAAAAGAAGCTTATAATTAGCAAAAACAAAATATTTAGGGTATAATAAATTATAGGTGGAAATGTGGAATAAATTTTAAAGTGAACTGATTTTGAAATGTTCTTAAGAGAGGAATAAAATATTTTATGTTGGTCATTAGATGTGATTTAAAAGAAACATTTATTTGATTTGGGTCTTTGAGGTAAGGAAAATATATGAAATATTGATTGTTAAAATGATAAATGAATATTATAAAGAGCTGTTTCGATTTAAAGTTTAAGATTAAGAGTGATTACATAGTAGAATGTTAAATGCTAGAATAAGATGTTAGACTGAATGATAAAAACTGGGTTTTGATTTGCTCTTTTCTTTTTTTCTTTTTCTTTTTTCTTTAAGATGTTAATGGATGAAATTTGGAATTTATACTTATTTTATACCGGATCAAACCCTTGCTCTAAAAAGATATGTTTTATGTTTAAAAATAAATTCAAAAAAAAAAAGAAGAAGAAGAAGATGGTTCAGATCCAAGTAGAGGTGGGGCAGGGCAAAATAAATTAAAAAGTTGACCAACTATTTCTAACACACACACACACACACACACACACACACACACACACACACACCAAGAGCAAATCAATCCCAAGGGTCCTTTTTGATTGCCTGGGGTTCGAGCAGAAGGATCTGATTCATTGAAATTGGTCCTGCAGTCAACTGCCACCCAGAGCCCACCCACCCAAATGTGTACCCCGTGGCATCCCCCAACTCTTGCCGTCTCCCCAAGATGTTGTCTGCCTGTTCTTCCCAGCACACGAGTGAGTGAGGTGGCTGCCTTGCGTGGCCGTTTTACGGTCCCCCCCTAACCAGACCCCATCTGAGGGGGGTCTCCAAGACCCTCTAGATCAGCTGGGATTGGGAAGTAGGCTGGAAAGAAGCATCTGTGGGCCACCGAGACCTTCAGGGAGGGAGGGAGGCAGCCATGCTCAGGAGTGGGTAAGGGATCTCCGCAGAGGGCACCCCTTCTCTGGGCCTGCCAGCTAGGCTCTTTCTGTCTGCTATGGGGGGAAGAGATGGCTGGACTGTCCTCAGAAGTGGCATCCGCTCACCCTCCAAGCGGCTGCCGTGTTGGCCCCAGGAAGGCCTAGGGCCCCCCGAATGCCAGGCGTGGCCTCCTCGCTTACCCAGCGCTTCATCCATGGCTCCCTGGAAGGGGGGAAACAAAACACAGGTCAGACACGGCTCTTGAGACCCAGAGGCCTTGGCAAGTCCCATGGGGCAGAGAGCCAGCTGCTTCCCCCCCTCCATGCCCAGAAACCGCAGCCTGGTCCCCCCCCCCCCCCCATTCAAGGCATTGCTCAGAAGCTGCTCTGGAGCCCCCCAGCTAAGGGGGGGGGGCTGAGATGCTCGGAAGGAACCAAGAAAAGTAGGAAGTAAGGGAGGGGAAAGAGGGAAGGGATGGGGGGGGGGAACCAGGTGGAGGAGAAAAGGGAGAAGAGGGTAGCGGGGGGGGGAGGGGCACACTGCATAGTTTAGCAGCAGAATCTCCCTTGCTCCTCTTATCATTACAAGAGGCTTGTCTAGACCCACAAATTCTGCCCCACAGGAGCAGAGCATCTCCCCTTTTCCAAAACATTTACCCCTCCCCCCTTTCAAGACCTACCTGGGCTGACTCCCACGTTGACTGGTAGGTCATTCCTGCCTGTTGAGAGCTTCAGAGCTTCCCGAGCTGGAAGGAGAGAGCAGATGGGGGAAGCCCCCTTCGTAAGACTGAGGGAAGACTGGGGGGGGGGTGGGGGGCAGAATTGACCAATGCCCCTTTAGAGGAGGGGGAGGAATGGGGCTGCTGCCCCTCCCCTCCTGCCTTTTCTAGCAAAGCCCCTGGAGCTGCCTGACCCACACGCTTCTCCCAGGGGATGTGGGTGGGGAGCAGGGAAGGCTGCGCCCCTTCCCTCAGTTTCAAGGGAGCCAAAAGCGTGTAAGTGATGCTCAAAGACCCTCTGCATCCCACCCTCCCCGCGCGCAAAGGGAACGGCACTGCCCAATCCTACTCCCCCCTCCCCCCTCTTCCCTCCCCCGTCCCACAGCAAGACGAAAGCAGCTGGATTCTCTCCACTGCTCCGGACGCAACAGAGGGCGGAACTCTTGGAGGGTCGCAATTCCTGGCCAGTCTGGCTTCCTTTGCTCGGACCGCCCCACAGGGACCCTCTGATTTGGGGTGGGAGCACCGCCTTTCCCTCCCGCTACGGCCCGTGGAGATCAGAGGGAGGGGCCGGGAGGGCGATGAGCAGGAGGCAAAGGGGGAGGGGAGGGCGGGACTGGAGCGGGTCTCCGCCCCCCCGAGAGCCCCCCCCGCCCCCGAGAGGCGCCGTTCAGCCTCTTCCTCAACATCTCTGCTGTTTGTCTCTGACAAAACGAGGGGGAAGACTGCGCCCCTGTTGCGCGGATCCCGGGAGGATCCCTCCAAGGCGGCCATCCCGCCCCCCCCCCCCCCAGCTCACCTGGGCGGACCCCTCCTCCCCCTCTGCCCTGTCGCGGAAGGACCCCCCAAGTGCCCCCACCTCCCCACCTGCGCTGCTGCGGGAAACCTGTCCGCGATCGCCGTCTCGCTCCGGATCTCCCCGCGGCTCGCAGGATCTGCAGCTGCTGCGCCGCGGACCCGCCTCGCTCCTTTTCACCGGCCGGGCAGGGGGACGGAGCTTGGCCCAGACCCGCCCTCAGAAGGAGGGGGGAAAGGAAGACAAACAGGGCAACTCCCTTTCTACTTCGCTTTCCTCCCCGTTTTCGCCCCCTCTCCTTCGCCGCCTTGCTGGTTGCAGTGGGAACAGCCGTGTTTCACCCCAGCCTCATATAAGGGGCGCCCCCACCGTCATCGCGGCCGGGGTCCCCCAGCCCCGCCTTTCTTGTTCTCCTCGGACAACCCCTCCTTCGGCTCCTTCGGAAAAGAGGCGCCGGGAGCTCCAGCCGAACTCCAGGGCTGGTCTCTCCGTGGGAATAGAATAGAATAGACCTTAGAGATCATCTAGTCCAACCCCCTGCTCAGTCAGGAAACCCTGTTTCAGATTTCAGATTAATGACTGTCCAGTCTCTTCTTAAAAAGCCTCCAGGGATGGAGCGCCCACGATTTCTGGTGGCAAGTATTTCTCCTAAATTGCTTCTCTCCCGGACTTCTTGCCCTGCCCTCAGCTGCCTTGAAGAAGAGCTTGACTCCTTCCTCTTTGGGGCCGCCCCTCAAATCCTGGAATACTGTTCTCGTGTCACTCCCTGAGTCCTTCTCTCCATTAAAGTACTTTCCCAATTCCAACAACCGTTCATCTACCTTTTAGCCTCGCCCCCCACCCCACATCCTCTCTGTCGCTCTGCTGCGCTCTCTTTCTACCGTAACAGAGGCGGATCGGGGCCTCCCAGTTCAGCCCAGTTTGCTCCGGGGCGGCCAGAACCGCTTCTCCTCGCCACAAATTCGATCGGTTCTTTCGCTGGCCGGGGAAGCGCTACACCCTGTGGCATCTCCGGCCATTCAGCACAGTCGCCGCTCCTCCGGTGGTCTTCCTCTGCCCTTTTACGCTCACTCCCCGGAATCGCTCTGGAGACCCTCCTGCCTCGAGTCCCGGCTTCTCCCGCCCCAAAGAGGCAGGGGAGGCGGTCGCGCTTCGGAGCAATCCCGGGGCTCCCACCTCGGAGGGGAAGCGCGTTGGTTTCGGAGCTGAGCATTGTTTCCAGCGGCGTTTTTTGACCCCCCCCAAGCGCCCTCCCCCCCCCACTCGGGCTGGCTCTCCTCTTGTGTCCCGCCAAAAGGAGACCCCCCCTCTTCCTGGGCACCTCCTGGCAGCAAGGGAGGCAGCGCTGAAGGCCCCCCGCCCGCCCCATTTGGCTTGAATGCCCAGCCTGTTATCGGGGCAGCGGGGCAGACCGGGGGAGGCCGCCCTTGTTTGTTCCTCTGTTCAGGATTGTTGGGGTTCAAGGGGTCCCATCCTTTCATGGTCTTTACCAGCTGCTCATGCCAGCACTCTAAGGCGGGGGTCCCCAACTCCAGGGCTGTGGGAGAAACAGGCAAGCAAGCATGTGTGAAGTTCTCTCTCTCTCTCTCTCTCTCTCTCTCACACACACACACACACTCACACTCACACACCTGTGTTGGAGAGATCGAGGGCTGCTCCTCTAAGGGGGGTTTGTGCGTGTGTGGAAATCTTCCAGCTGAATGATCAGAGGGCCAGTATGCGGTCAGCGTGGCTCCTTCGCAAATCCTCCCTTGCTCGACCTAAGTTGTTCCCAGGATCCGCAGGAAGGTGGGGCGGAGACTTTGGGGGGCAGACAGGTGTGATCTGAGAGTAACAGAAAGCAGAACAGGGGCGCTCTCTGCTTTGGCTCTGAGGAGGGGCACTGGGGAGGGGGAGGGGCTGGTGATTTGCAGTCCCCAGTAGCCCTTCCAAGAGCTCTTGGGAGGCTGTGTGTGTGTGTGTGTGTGTGGAGCGGAGTTGAAGGGAGCAGCTGGACTCCCTGTAAGCCCTGCCCAGGGCCCTGGACTCTGGGGCAGCAGCAGAGACCGCCAAGCTGAGGGTTGGGGGGGGGCTTCAGCCTGATCTTCCCTGGGCCCAGAGCTGGAACTGGCCTGGCACTTCATGGGCTCTTAGGACAACCTCCCTCTCCAACCGCTCCTTTTTCAGCAAAAAGAGGTCATTGGGAGGGGGGCAGCTGGGCCATAGGGCTGGGACAGCGTGGACCCCCCATCGGTCCTTCGCAAGGCTTGGCATGGTGGCGCTTTGTCCGTCCTGGCCCTCCGGAGTCACTCTGCAGCTTTTGACACCATCAGGCTTGGGACCCAGGCCGAGGGCGACCCCGAGACTCATCCTGCACGTCAGTGAGTGACTACAGCTGCTAGTCTCTCTCCCTCCTGCCTGGCATTCAGGGCGGGAGTGGAAAACCGGGGAGACCTCCTGGCACCTCAGAATCCCAGCCGAGACCTCAAATTAGCCCCCCAAGGATTCCTCTAAGCTGGAGGCCTTGGAGGCTTTTTCTGCCCCAATTGCTCCTGTACTCGGATTTCAGGTCCACCTCCTCTGTTCCTCAGACTTTCTGCTTGGCTGTGTGGGCATTTGAGTCCTTTTTGAGGGACCCTGTCTCCTACCCCACCTGTTTTGGGCCCAAGTTCCCCTTCTTCCTTACCATCTGTTTGATCAGCGCACACAATATCAAAAGCCTGATTTTCTTTAACCGCAGCCTCAATATTCTTTCTGTTGATTCACCGATGGCCGCTTGAGAACAAGGAAGGATTCCCACCGATGGTTTTAGTGATAGAAAGGATGAAGTCTCACACTCACAATCAAACACCCAGTGCTGGATGAGAGGGGTAGAAGAGGGTCTTATAAACAGCCCCCACCCTTGTACCAAAGGCAGATGACTGAAGAACTCTGGAGCGCCATTTACGGCAAAGGAAAAAGATTAGAAAAAGCAGTAAACAACCCCTCTGCACAACCGTCACGCAAGGGAAAGATGGGCGAAGGTTAGGAGAAAGCCAGGGAAAGCTGGACAATGGCCGGGTGCTGGGACCCCTCCCTCCCCCACGGGCCACACGCCCATCAGTTCCAGAGAAATCAGGAGGTTCATCTTGGAGAGGAACTGAAAGAGAAACCGAGCAGCAGATAACAGGTGGAAAGGCCGGCCTGTCCCTGCTGCGCCCAGTTTCAGACGGGACAAGGTCCCAGGTGCGCCTGCATTTTATGGCCCTGTTTATACCTGGATCCAGGATGTGCTCACCTGCTTACGAAGGTTCATCGTTCCCAGCCTTCGGGGGGGGTCCTAGAGTTCTTCTAGGGCTGGTGGGGCTGGTGGATCTGGGCCCAGGGACCCTCCCCTCCCCTGCTGGCCATACATTAATCAGGTCCAGAGAAATCAGAATCATCTTTGAGAAGCAACCAAAAGTGAAACCGAGGAACAGATAAGATAACAGCTGCACCCAGGTTGAACCCGGACAAGGTCCCAGGTGCACCTGCATTTTATGGCCCTGTTTATACTGGATCCAGGATGTGTTTACCTGCTTACGAAGGTTCATTGTTCCCAGCCTTCAAGGTGCGGGGGGGGGTCCTGGACTTCTTCTAGGGCCGGTGGGGCTGTTTGGGATCTGGGTTTTCTTGCAATGACCCAAAGGATTTTGGAAACCGAAAGATAGTCATGTCCCCCTTTCCCTCAATTTGGGGGGGGGGCTCAGTTCCCTAGGGCTGACCCTGACCCCAGCCTCCCCTGCTCATTTTTGGACACCCGAATTGCTGGGCTGTGACTCGGGATGTGTTGAGAGGACTGGAAGGGAGCTTGGAGGTCTTCTAGTCCAACCCCCCTCCCGCCCAAGCAGGAGACCCTCCACCATTTCTGACCGAGGGCAGTCCAGTCTCCCCTTGAAAGCCTCCAGGGATGAAGCTCCCACAGCCTCTGAAGGCAACTTCTGTTCCATGGGTTGATTGCTCTCACTGTCAGAAATAATTCCTCCTTATTTCCAGGGTGAATCGCTCCTTGGTCAGTTTCCATCCATTGTTACTCGTCTGACCTTCAGGTGCCTTGGAAAATAGCTTGACCCCCTTCCTCCTCTCTGGGGCAGCCCCTCAAATAGGAAGACTGCTCTCCTGCCTCCCCTGGTCCTTCTCTTCACTAGACTAGCCGTGCCCAGTTCTTGCAACTGTTCTTTGTATGTTTTAGCCTCCAGTCCCCTCATCATCCTGGTTGCTCTTCTCTGCCCTTTCTCTAGAGTCTCCACATCTTCTTTATAGTGTGGGGACCAAAACTGGATGCTGGATTCCAGAGGAACATCATCAAGATCACGTGAAGTGTTAGTACCGCTTTATAAGGCCTTGGTAAGAGGCAGTGTATTGTGAGATATTGCCTCCAATTTTGGTCACCACGGTACGTAAACTCTAGAAATTCACGATGGCTTCTCAAAGAGTGCAAGAAAGAGCAACAAAGATGAT